GCGCCTCGGCGGGGCCGGGCCGGGATGGCGGGTGCCGCCCGGAGAGGGGGCCCGGTGCCGGCTCCCTGCTCTCCCCTCCCTTCTCACCCCCTGCCCGGCCGCACCGGGGCTGCTGGGGCACCGGGGCTGCTGAGGAGGGGGCACCGCGGAGGGACCGGCCCTGCCCGGCTCCGGCCCTGCCCTGAGGGCTCTCAGGCCCGCAGCGAGGGGCAGGTGGAAGCAGGCCCTGGCTCCTCTCCCCTGTGTCCCTGCCTGCGCTGCCATCGAGCTCAGCAAGGGACAGCCCAGGCCACTTTAGCCCAGAGGGGTCTTGGAGCCTGCAGAGAGCCGTCAGAGAGCTGCCTCCATGCTGAGCTGCTCCGCTGCTGGCCGCTTGTGAGGTTTAAATTTAAACATCGTTTTTTCCACTGTGTTGAGCAGGTGAATGGGTGTGTGAACTGAATGCAAAGGTTCTGTCTTTAAAAGCCACTTTGTAGCGTGACATGTTGTGAAGGTGGTTGATCTTTTGTGCCCAAAGTTAAACCTCGGATTAAGGATTTCTGCTCAGTAGCATGGAAGAAATGTGCCTGTCGGTCAAGAACTGCAATCAGTTAAATCCAGCAGGCAGTCTCCCCCAAGTTTTAATGCTGTTCTTACAGTTAATACAGATTTTTAAGGTATACATATAATATCTAGCTTATTCTTGCTTGCTGTAAAGCCTGGCCGCAGTGATGACTTGGGCAGCAAGGTTCAAAGACAGGCTATGGAGAGCATTCCCTTCCTTGATGTAAACTTGACACTTTAAAGTTCAGCAATCCAACTTAGGTCTAACTCCAGAGACAATAAATAAGGGGAGCTGAATTTAAAAGACGTGACTTATTAGAAACGTGGAAACCAGCGAGTTAACGTAACGCGTGTCTTTGGGCCAGCAGGATCTGTGGGGCAATTACGCCAATGCCTCTTCTCAGATGCAAAGTCTGGGTTTAGCCTGTGGTGTTTGGCAGTGCCGTCTCTGAGGCCACAGGGCTGGACAGTGTGGCTCTTTACAAAATCTTTTCAACACCTAGGAGCCCGATAAAGAGGTGGACATGTTAAAGTTAGCTTGGACACAAAATTAAATATTCTCAGCTTGCAAATCATTTTCTAAAGTCTTTTAATGGCAAAGCCCATTTGATTTGTCCATGTTTTGTTTTGTGGGTTTTTTTTTATTTTTTAGGGTGAGCGGTTTGAGAGCTGGTCTTGCAGAGAAAGAGCTTGGGTGGCACGATTTGGTAACCCGGGCCCATCCAGAACAGGAGGTTAGTTTGAGGTGAAAGGTGCAGCTTTTGCCTGACTGGAGGCCAACGAGAGGGCAAATAGATTTTCCCAGGCTGTGGGAAAGAGGAGCTAGGTGCGTGCTGAAAGCCTATTTTAAGGGAGTAAAGGCAAGAATCTACGAGGTCTGCATAGTCTGCTTTCGGTATAGGATAATGGACTGAAGGATGAGCCATGCAATGCAAGAATTTGCAGGTTGTGATCTCAGCAAGGTGCAGCAGAATTTCTCGGTGATTGTTCTGTGATCGAGTGTATCTTCTCTGTTCTGTGACTTGAGGCAAAAGGTGTTTGTCTCTGACTTCGGGCAGCACAAATATATACAGAGGTGTCCTGGGTTTCCTCCACAGTTGGGAGAATGTGTGGAGCCAGTTTTCCTAGAAAAAATGATACGCCTCTCATCGCTAACAGATGTTTCAACTCAAGGATGGATTTACTTGTACATCACCGTTTTCCTAAAATCAGGGTTCTGTGAAGCACGTACGTTTTCTCAAGTGGCTGTGAAAAGTGTATTGCCCTGCTTTGGACTGCAACTTTGGTTTTATCAAAATTGACTTGTAAGTGGATGTAGTGCTGCTCAAATGCATAATAGAGGTTTTTATGCATGACTTGGTCTCTTCTCCCAAGTAACAAGCGATAGGACAAGAGGGAACGGCCTCAAGCTGCGCCAGGGCAGGTTTGGGTTGGATATTAGGAAGAATTTCTTCCCCAAAGGGCTGTCAGGCCCTGGCCCAGGCTGCCCAGGGCAGGGGCTGAGTCCCCATCCCTGGGGGGATTTAAAAGCCGGGGAGATGTGGCGCTTGGGGACGTGGGTTAGTGGTGGCCTTGGCAGTGCTGGGTTAACAGTTGGACTCAATGATCTTAAAGGTCTTTTCCAACCTAAATGATTCTATGATTCTATGACTCTTGGCAAACCAATCTCTATTGTTTCTTGGCAGCACTTAGGATGCGTTCCCAGAAGACCAGTGAATGTTGTCTATTTGCAGTATTCTTTCCTTTCTTCCTCGGCTCTTTAAGACTGCTGTCCTCTTGTATTGTGCGCTAACCTGATCTTATGTTTTCATTGCAGAAATGCCTCATCAGTGGCATATGGCTTATATCCAGAAGATACCCAGTTCCTGCAGTCCACAGGGGTACAGTGTACAGGATGAGCAGGCCTGTTTTAGAGATCCATCAGGTTGGTTAACGGCTGCATTTTTTTTATTTCAGGCCGAAAGTGGTTTCCCATTAGAGTACTGATCTATTAGTTGTGGATATATTTCTGAGAAGCACCAGTTCTAGGTTGAAAGTTTCCACTTTTTAAGATATATCCGATGAACTCAAGGAATTTTGTAGTAGCCGAGTCCAAGTCACAGAGTTCAGGAGTGGTGCTCACTTCATCTACCAAATTGTTTAAGCCTGAACTAACCTCTGGAGTTAAACTTCCTCTGGAGAAGCATCTTTTTTAGTGGCTGTATAGATGTCCTTCACAGAGGATTAGAAATGTGTTGGACATCTGGCTGTTTTGAGAGTAGGCTGCTGCTTTTTCAAGGTAGCTGTATGTTTTCCACAACATTTAATGCAGAAGTGACCCAGTGCTTGGCTTAAGTAAATCGACCTGCTGGCTTTGATACTTGTTTAATTTAATGTCTCTTTGGATTCTACAACATGTAATGATTTTCTTTAGTCTAGATGCTACTCTTCTGGAGGAAGAAAGGGTTTTATATCAGGTTTTGTGGAGAACATCAAACAGGAATTAGCAAAAAACAAGGAGATGAAAGAAAGTAT